TTTGAAAAAAAATTTTCTCAACGATCCTTCCTTCCCCCTTTTGGCATTATCAACCGACAACCTTCCCCCTTAATTGATGCCGGGATTTTGAAGGAAAGAATTGTAAGAGTTTTCTTTAAAAGAGAGTTTGTAAAATGCCACAAAGGGACAATATGTTCTAAACAAGAACAATATTGCCAAACTAACAATGATATTAATACATAAGCAATTAATATCGACTAGCATCATCGAAAGGAAACATCATCATCCACCAAAAGAGTCAAAACAAATAACAATGTATCATAATGAGTCAAGAGAAAATAACAATCAAAGAGAGTTTGCCGGACGAGCTCCTCCGCCAAAGCTGTGACGCGGGCCACGGTAGGAGCGAGATTGCTCAAGACGAGTCATCCTCTCGTTGAGCTGGCGAACGTCATCTCGGATGCACGTGAGAGTATCGAAGATCTTCTTCACCCAAGAAGGTTCCGGTGCTTCTTCTCTCGGACGAGTCCTCGGCTGACGAGTGACGCGCTCCGTGGCTCGACTACCTCCGGCTTGAGATGACTCAGCTTGATTCTCGTTTTGGCTTTCTTCTTCTTCTTCGGCGATGACCAAGTCCAGATTTGGTGCAGCATCGCCCTCCTCTCGATACATGATCCGGGAAAACTTGGCTTCAGTGATGAAACACGTCTTCTTAACCGGCACCTGAGTGTCTCGAGTAAAGTCTATTTTGCAATGTGCAAGGATATGCATAATGGGGATGGCAAACCGGAGATGGGAAAAACGAGTCTCATCGCTAAGGGCAACGATAAAGAAGTGAACCCAATCAAATTTGACATCGTTCAACAGGACGTGAAACAAACGAATATCGTCCTTGTTGACGACGCCATGGTTCGAATCACGGGGAAACAAAACATATGAGAAAATGTATTGTTGGACGCGTTGAATTAAAGTGAGATTAACGACACTCGGGTTGCTAGAGTTTCTAAACTTGAGGTCACGATGATCCAACCCGAGTTGTCGCCAAATTGCCTCATCTTGGAATGTTTCATCCAAGTTTTCGGTAATTTCACCGCGACGAAGACCAAACAAAGAAGTCAAACCGGCACCGTCAATGAAAACGGTTTTGCCGTCAACATAGGAAATGAGAGATGGCGAACCTCCCTTAGTGGTACGAAGATTTGCATAAAATTGACATATAAGATTTGGACAGAAAAATTCATACGTCAAATGAATGAACCGAAGCAATCCTTACTGAAAGAACATAGACTTACTCGGGGCATAGGTCGCCGATTTGAAGAGGTCCTTGTTCACGATCTTGGGAGAGACGATCTCCTTTGTGAGGAAGATGTTGTGGAACCTCTCAACTGAAGCCCCAGTGTTGAAGGCGAGACCCGTTTGAATGTGAATGTACTTGCTCCCTTCACGACGCCATGGCCTCTCATTCTCCTCTGCTGCGGTTTCTTGACCCGAGGAAGCGTTCTTGCACCTTGGCATCCTTCCTCTTTGAAATTGATGAGATTAGGTTCGAAGATTGGTGAGAAAATGGAAGAAAATTGAGAGGGATTGAAGAGGAGAAGGTGTTAGGGTTTCTGATTCTTTAAACAGAGAATGGCGAAGAAGACGAAGCCTGGGCTGGATATAGGGCGAAAATCGAATATTAATCGATTAAAATAAAGTATTTAATCGATCAAGGAACACAGCCAAGGAAATATCGATTAAATGAAGCATATTAATCGATTAGAAGAAGCAGAACCAAAACGTCTCTTTTCAAGATATTAATCGATTAATCAGAGAAGGTTAATCGATTAATATGGACAGATGAGTCTAATCGATTAATTGAACAAAATTAATCGATTAAAAGGTGAATCAGCGCTAAAGACGTTTTCGGATATTAATCGATTAAATAGAAACGATTAATCGATTAAGAAAGACAGAGGCGACTAATCGATTTTTCTTTGAGGAATAATCGATTAAAATTTGTTTGAGAGAAAAAAAATATCAAGTCCAATTAGGTTAAATACCAAGGGAAGAGATACCTACAATAAAAGCCCTGCAAAAAGAATTTTATCGCGCCTCCGACGCTCAAATTAGTATAGTCAAAAAAGAATTAGTTCATAGAGATATTTAAAATGCCAAGTTCGTTCCAAATGTGGAAGAAACTCTCCCTACTAAGGGGTTTCGTGAAAATGTCGGCCAATTGATGTTTCGTTTCAACAAACTCAATTGTGACATCTCCCTTTTGGACGTGATCTCGTATGAAGTGATGCCTAATTTCTATGTGTTTAGTCCTGGAGTGAAGAACAGGGTTTTTCGATAGACTAATGGCGCTCATATTGTCACACCTAATTGGGATGTGATCAAGTATAAGGCCGAAATCCACTAGTTGTTGTTTTAGCCAAAGAATTTGGGCACAACAACTTCCCGTAGCGACATATTCCGCTTCGGTGGTGGAAAGTGCAACACTAATCTGTTTCTTACTAAACCACGAGATTAACGAATGACCGAATAAGTGGCAAGTACCGCTGGTACTTTTCCTATCGAGTTTGCAACCTGCAAAATCCAAGTCGGAATAGCCAACAAGATGACATGTCGAACCTTTGGGATACCAAAGACCTACGTTCAACGTGCCCGCAAGATATCGCATTATCCTTTTGATCGCAACCAAGTGCGACTCTTTAGGACAAGATTGATACCTAGCGCATATACAAATGGAGTACATGATATCCGGTCTACTCGCAGTAAAATAAAGTAAAGAGCCGATCATACCTCGGTAGCGTTTGATGTCAACCTCTTTACCTTTTTCATCCTTGTCGAGATAGCAAGAGGTGCTCATCGGTGTGTCAATAGATTTGGATTCGGTAACATCGAATCTCTTAAGCAACTCCCTGCAATATTTCGTTTGACACACGAATGTCCCTACTTTGCATTGTCTAATTTGTAGCCCAAGGAAGAACTTTAATTCTCCCATCATCAACATCTCAAATTCACTTTGCATCATATCGGAAAAATCCCTGCACAGAACTTCGTTAGTAGCACCGAATATGATATCATCTACGTAAACTTGAACCAAAAGGATGTCTTGGTTATCTTTTTGATAAAAAGATTAGTGTCGACTTGACCCCGTTTGAACTCATGGTTCAAAAGAAATTTGCTTAACCGTTCATACCAAGCACGAGGTGCTTGTTTGAGACCGTAAAGCGCCTTTTTGAGTTTGAAGACATGTTCGGGAAACTCATAGTCTTCGAAACCCGGGGGTTGTTCGACATACACTTCCTCTTGAATGATACCATTAAGGAAGGCACTTTTAACATCCATTAGATAAAGTTTAAAGTCCATTGTAGATGCAAATGCAAGCAATAAACGAATAGCTTCTAAACGTGCAACCCGTGCATAAGTTTCTTCATAATCAATGCCTTCTTCTTGATTGTAGCCTTTAGCTACAAGCCTAGCTTTGTTTCTAGTGATTACTCCATTTTCATCGAGCTTGTTACGAAACACCCATTTTGTGCCAATAACGGAATGATCATTAGGTCTAGGCACCAATTCCCAAACATCATTGTGTTTAAATTGGTTAAGCTCCTCTTGCATTGCCATAGACCAATGTTCATCATTAATAGCATCCAAAACGGTTGTTGGTTCAATTTG